GATTAATTTTTTACTAGGTTATAATTACCTTGAATTCCAATTCCAACTAAACTAACGTGCAAGTTGGGCTTAAATTTAAGGCTAATTTGACTAAGCAAACTAACGTGGAGGTTGAGCGAAAATTTAAGGCCAATTTGATTGAGTAAGTAAACTAACGTGGAGGTTAGGCGAAAATTTAAGGCTAATTTGACTTAGGAAGAGTGTGTTTGGATGTTGTAATTATAATTGTGATTATGATTGTATAAAATTGTGTTGTGCTGTATTGTAGTTGTAGTTAAAAATTATTTAGATATTTGAGTATTTAATTTTGAAAGGTATTACGAATCACATATTTTATTAATTATTAATTAAAATTTTAAAAATATTATGTAATGTATAATTACAAAAAATATTGTAATGTAAAATCATGTTTCAATATCATCAATTTTCAACAATTATAATTATAATTAATAAAAGAAAGATGCCAATTCTAATTAAAAATTACAATTAAAAAAAAAAATTTTAATTTTCATTTCATAAGATTTATTTAACAATTTTTTAACAACTTTTCAAATATTGATTTATTATTAAATACAAAAAATTAATTAATAATTCAATAAAATCCTGACTTTTATCATAAAATTTATTAACTTTCTACATAATATTTTTATAACCACTTTTATTATAAAAATTGTTTTAGTAAAATTGACTATATAATCAAACAGCCCTAACTTTTTTTTTCTTTTTGTGCAAATGAAAAATTTTATAGTTAGATCAATTACGCTTTATAAAAGTTAGTCCATGCAGAAATTGTTTTGATTATAGAAGTAACAAGATATATATAATAAAAAAAAGGGAACAAAATCACAAGGAGAAGAGAAAAAAGAATTCAAGACAAAGAAAAAAACTGAGTAGAAGATACAATTAGCAACAAAAAAAAAAAAAGTGGATGTAAAATAGAACGAAAGCCAGAAACTCGAAAAATATAATTTATTATTCTAAATTAGTAGACTAATTAATTAGAGTTTTTTTTTCAAAATTAGTGACACTTGTGTGAATCTTTATATGATAAGTTGAATTTTCATATATATTATTTTGTAAATTCGCCTTAATTTTATTGAGAATGTGGAGAAATAAAAAATAATAACACTGAATTGCAGAATAACGAAATTGAAAGAGAGAAATTAATATCAAGGATCCAGATGAAAAAAATAAAAAATTTGAAGATCAAATTACAGAAAAAACGAAAGTTGAGGAAGTAGCGAATTCTTACCAACGAAAAAGCAAAGTTGAGACTGCCTTGTACTAATCCCAGAATTGCATTTCTTCTATCATTAATTGCGTTCTCTGTTAAGGTTAATTTTATTGGAATGTTTATCCCGTCCCTAAATAAGCTTTAATAAGAATTTATATTTTT